CACACTTTCCCCTCTCCATACGTAACATCCACACGCATCATCTCTCCCCTCACCGTCAAAGTTGCACACTGGCGCGGGTCAGAACTACATTGGAGCTTACATTTACACACACACACACACATACACACACACATACATACATACACACACACACACATACACACACACATACATACACACACACATACATACACACACACATACATACACACACACATATACATACACACACACACACATACATACACACACACATACATACACACACACATACATACACATTTACACACACACACATATACATACACACATACATACACACACACATACCGGTCTGTCGCGCTCCTCTGTGTCACGGAGCCCAAAGGATCCGCGCAAATACGCGGCTCCTTTTGGGAGTCGCGTATTTCCCCTACATGTTTTGCTGTAGGGGAAACATGTTTGTGTTTATGGTCCTCGGGATCAGCTCCACACACATCACTTGTATTTAAACTTTTGTGAAGACCTGTGAGACGCGGCTCGTCACTCGCTGCTCTGACCATGTGAACGAGCCGTCTTTGCTGCTAGAAAGTTTTGGTATTAACCCGCAGCACAGCAGAATGGGAAGATTAAGGCCCTGTTTATACTGAGACGCTGCGCAGACGTTTCCAGGCTATTAACAGAAACGACCTGGCTCCTAATGCAAATTTCTCAGCGTTCACATGAGGTTGAAAAACGATGTAGTTCTAGCGCCCGGCCAGTAGGGGGCAGAGGAACTTTACAACACGACACACGACCCCCAGCCCCGTGCCCAGCCCCCCCCTCGGCAGTATATTCACTTCCTGTACCAGACCCTCAGGACGTACCAACATCATTCTGCATTTTAACAGCAGCTGTGAAAATGGAAACTGAACCTAGAGCTTCGCGTGGTCTCGTTTGGACGAACGAAGGAGTAGAATTATCCTCTGTCCCGCTACTGCGCATGTCCAAATTTACGTGCGGGAGCAGCAGGGAGGCGGGGTTAGAGCAGAGGGGGATTTCACACCTTTTCCCCTCTCGCGGGTGTGAAAAAGCTCCCTGCTGTGCAGCGTATCTGAGTTGTCCCACTCTGCAGGCTGGATCTGAACACTTACGTTTTCACCCCCCTGGAACACAGTCTTCGTATGAACGGTTGGTAGCAACCGATATCCAACTATACCGTTTTACTGCCACATTGTCTCCGTGTAAACTCAGCCTAAAACAGCAGTTCTCTGTGCGCAAAGGTGCCGGAGCTGTTGCGGGTTTGGGCGCTGCTGTCTCGGCTCTGATCCAGTAGAACGCAGAGCTGCACTTATGAAAAGTACGCGGCTCGAAATGGCTGTTATTTCAAAGAACGTGGACTATTTTAAACTACGCGGTTAACCGGTTTCAACCGGTTAATGAGGCTCGGTGGTCGGTCATGAAAATTCATAGTTTTTTACATCCCTAATTTGAAATGTGTTCAGAGGAATGAGAAACTGCCGTGATGATGTGCACCAATGACCCAATGTTGTGGAGGTTGAACTAATAGTTTTGAGAAGTTTAAGTCTGATGTGAGAAATGCACCAAAGCAACTGAGAAAAACTGTAAAAGCATACACTCGCGGCCTGATTATATCATACTCTGCTAGAATGAAAAAACAATGTCAAGAAGAACAAAGAAAACTTGAGTTACAACTGCATATATTACAGCTTGACTACAATAATTCCCCTTCTGACCATTTGAGAGAAAAAATCAATGTAACTAAAACCGCTCTAGAGGGGTTGCTGACAAAGAGGGCTGAGAAATAAATTTTTTTTACAAAACAGAGATTTTACGAACTGGCTAACAAACCTAATCGTTACCTTGCCAACCTTCTTCAAAATAAAGGCTTCTCACGCAATATCCCGGGAATTAAAGACTCGTCCGGTGGGCTTCATCACAACAATACATTTATAAGCGATACTTTTCGAAGTTTTTACAAACAACTTTACACCTCTCAATTAAATCATCTTATTATCAGGAAATGGAAAACTTTTTACAGAACATTACTCTACCTAAAATCTCAGACGCTCAAAGGGAGGACTTGCGCAAACCTATAACACAAAATGAGGTTCTAAAAATTATTCAAATGTTACCAAATGGTAAGGCTCCGGGGCCAGATGGGCTTAGTGGAGAATTTTATAAAAAATTTAGCAACACTTTACTTTCACCTTTAGCTGAAATGTTCGATTTCTCCTTTGTAGAGGGAGCCCTCCCTCTGTCCCTAATGGAGGCCAACATTTCGTTGGTGTTGAAGAAAGGGAAACCCTCAGAGGATTGTTCTTCCTATAGACCAATCTCTGTCTTGAATATTGATTTGAAAATCCTTGCTAAAATACTAGCCTCACGCTTAGAAATGCTCTTGCCTTGTATTGTCAACACCGACCAAACTGGTTTCATACGGAATAGCACTCTTCTTTGTTTAATCCTGAGGCCTTGGTGATTTCGGTTGATGCGGAGAAGGCTTTTGATAGACTTGAATGGCCTTATCTATTTTATACTCTCAGTAAGTTTGGGTTGGGGAACGAATTTATCAATTGGATTCAGATTCTGTATAAGTCTCCAGTCTCGGCAGTAATTACTAACGGCTATAGATCTAATAACTTTGGCATTGAACGTGGCAGCAGACAAGGATGTCCGTTGAGTCCGCTGTTGTTCGCTCTGGCTATGGAGCCGCTGGCGGCTGCCATTAGAGCGGACACTGCTATTGAAGGGCTATTGCTGAATAATCATGAACATAAAATCTCCCTTTATGCCGACAACGTGTTGATTTTTCTAAATTCTCCATCTGCGTCTATACCAAAATTGACCCATCTAATTACGTCGTATAGTTCTTTTTCTGGTTATAAAATCAATTTTTCAAAGAGTGAGGCCATGCCACTTTCTGTTTTACATGGGGCTGGTCCAATTATTTCTCAGCCTTTTCGTTGGTCCCCTGCTGGGTTTACTTACCTTGGAATCAGGGTCTCACCTGATCTAAAAAGTCTTTTCAATCTTAATTACAGCCCTCTCATCCAAACGATTAATCGCGATCTAGACAGGTGGTGCAGTCTCCCGCTGTCTCTATTGGGTCGTATACACTTAATTAAAATGAACATTCTCCCTCGTTTTCTATATTTATTTCAGATGCTGCCTCTTATGTTGTCTAAAAAAGTATTGTCAAAACTAAATAGCTCAATCATTTCATTTATTTGGAATAAGAAGAGAGCAAGGTTAAGATACAGCTATCTCTGTCTACCAGTGCATATGGGTGGGCTTGCTGCTCCTTCTTTACCGCTATATCTTTGGTCTGCGCAATTTAAATTTATACTAGAATGGTTTAAGTCAGATCCCAATTCAATTTATTTAAGTGCAGAATCTGCATCTTTGAAGGAAGCACCCCTCTGGAATCTGCTGTATATATCGTACAACAGTACCTCTACAATTATAAAGTAATTGTAGTAGTAGTTGGTGCAGTTCTACACAGCCATCATCGAGTCCATCCTCACCTCCTCCATCACCGTGTGGTTCGCTGGAGCCACAGTCAGGGACAAACAGAGACTACAGCGCATTGTGCGCTCTGCAGAGGAAGTGATCGGCCGCAGCCTTCCATCGCTGCAGGACCTGTACGTCGCCCGAGCTCGAGGCCGGGCTGGTCGTATCACAGCCGACCCCTCTCACCCTGCACATGGACTATTCCAACCACTCCCCTCTCACCTGCACATGGACTATTCCAACCACTCCCCTCAGGCAGGAGGCTGCGGTCCATCAGGACTAGAACCTCCCGCCACAAGAACAGTTTCTTCCCCTCTGCTGTTGGACTCTTGAACACTTCTTAACCTGTCCCCCCGCCCTTTATAAAGTCACTTTACTGCCCATCATACGTCACTTTACTTCACTGTACTGCTGTCACCTTACATTGTGTGCACCATGTGCACTTGTATATTGTAAATAGTAACTGTAACTCTATTTTAAATTTAAATTTATTCTTTAGAAGTGTTTTTTATTCTTATTTTTATTATCTCTTTTTGACTGTTGCACTGAGCCAAAGCAATTTCCAAGTCTGTGACCTCCCGTTACTTACGTTGGCAATAAAAATGATTCTGATTCTGATTCTGATTCTGATAAAGGACAATGTGCTTTTACAGAATATGGTAAAGATCTGGCGGAAGGTCAGGTACTTAGAAGGTTATAAGAATCATTTCTCTCTATTAACGCCTATACATGAGAACCCTGATTTTATGCCTGGTGTGAAGTCAGGCTTTGCAGAATGGTTCCTCAGGGGTATTAAAACTGTGGGTGACATGTTTGAGGATGATGCACTTCTTTCTTTTCAACAACTAAAAGGGAAATATGGTATTGTTGATGCTGACTTTTTGAAGTATATGCAAGTAAAACATTTTATTATGTGTAAAATTAGAGAGTTTGGCGGGAATGTGACTGTATCCCCTATTGAATCTCTGATTTTAAATACCACAAAACTCAAATCTTTTTCCAAAAGGGTGTATAATGTCCTGTGTGCATCTAACACAGACAGTTCTGTCAGAGTTAAATGTTTGTGGGAGGCTGACCTGGGCCCTATAACAGCAGAATCCTGGTCTGAGTTGTGTAGCAGACCCTTTAAAGCACTGGCATCAAACTCCATTTGGGAGAGACAGTTTAAAATTCTTCATAGGCTCTTCATAACTCCTGAGAAGAAGCACAAAATGTATCCAACTCACTCCGAGATGTGTAATAAATGCCAACTGGAAGTTGGGACCTTCTTCCATTGTTTATGGAGTTGCCCTGTGATACTTCAATTCTGGAACTCAATTATTGTGAAGCTCTGTGCAATATTCAAGTGTCAACTAAATTTGGGAGCATGCATTTTAGGTCTTAATGATGAGCTCCCAGTAGCTTTTACCAATGGGGATCTGTTACATACACTTTTACACTGTGCCCGAAAATGCATAATGGTACAGTGGATTTCAGCTGAGGAGCCTCTCATCAGTGGATACAGACTGTTACAGTATCAGCATCAGTCCTATGGAGCCCTTCTCCACTCTACTGAAGGACAAACCATACAGGTTTTATAGGACATGGGACCCTTTTTTGGACTTTCTTGACATTTCTGCAGCACAAAAGATTCTAACCGGACTGATGTCTTTGGCTTGGTCAAAAGACTCATAACTATAAATCTCGTCACAATCCTTGATTTTACACAAATGTATACTCCTCTGCTTTGCAAAAATGTTCAATAAAAAAAAAAAATGAAAAAAAAAAATGCTAAATCCATTATTTGATAAAATTTTGCTTCAATATTTGTTTTTTGTGTTAGACAATTGGTGAAATAAACGTTTCCTTCCTGTTAAGAGCGACTGTCCTGTGTCGGACCTCCCTCTGACAGAAGAACATTAATGACAGTGACCTGAGGTCGATGTCCGCCGCCTGGATGGTGTTGAACAGAACATAAATGACAGTGACCTGAGGTCGATGTCCGCCGCCTGGATGGTGTTGAACAGAACATTAATGACAGTGACCTGAGGTCGATGTCCGCCGCCTGGATGGTGTTGAACAGAACATAAATGACAGTGACCTGAGGTCGATGTCCGCCGCCTGGATGGTGTTGAACAGAAGTTCTGCGACTCCGGCTCCTTCGATGTTGATCAGATGAGGCTGGAACAGAGCCTCCGGAGCCCCAAACCTCTCACCGCCAACACGCACCTGCCGCCCGTCCGGAAGCTACGGAACGGACCAGACCATGCTTCAAATGTGAGGATTGATGAAAATAAATACATCTCAGAAAGGCAAGGCAAGTTTATTTATATATCACAATTCATACACAAGGCAATTCAAAGTGCTGAAAAAGAAAGCATCAATCCATCCATCCATTTTCTACCCTTTAATCCATTTCTGGGTCAGGGGGGTGGCAGTCAGAGATGCCACCCAAGTCTCATAGCACCAGCCCCTCACTGACCCTCTGCAGGTGGTGAGTCCACAGGAGGACGGCTGCTCTCTGAGTGAGAGCATAGCCTTGATCTTTCAGTGGGGGCTTTGGGCAAAGTGGGGTTAAGTGTCTTGCCCAAGGACACAACAACAGCAGTCATCAGTGGGAGTCGGTGGAGAAGGTGTGGAGGTGGGAATTGAACCCACAACCTTCTGGCCTTAAGGCCAATGCTCTACCAACTGAGCTACTGTCGCCCCAAAAAGAAAGCATTAAAATCATAAATAATCACAGAACATTAAAAAGAAAGATAAAAATATAAAATCCCTCAGTTGTAGCACAGCTAAACAGAACTGTCTTTAACCTGGTTTTAAACATTGTCAGAGAGGAGGCCTGTCTCACATCTTCAGGAAGACTGTTCCAGATTTTAGCAGCATGAATCTGAAAAGCAGCCTCCCCATGTTTAGTTCTGACTCTGGGCACTAACAGGAGTCCAGTCCCTGTGCTCCTCAGAGTCCCAGCAGGAGTCCAGTCCCTGTGCTCCTCAGAGTCCCAGCAGGAGTCCAGTCCCTGTGCTCCTCAGAGTCCCAGCAGGAGTCCAGTCCCTGTGCTCCTCAGAGTCCCAGCAGGAGGCCAGTCCCTGTGCTCCTCAGAGTCCCAGCAGGAGGCCAGTCCCTGTGCTCCTCAGAGTCCCAGCAGGAGTCCAGTCCCTATGCTCCTCAGAGTCCCAGCAGGAGGCCAGTCCCTGTGCTCCTCAGAGTCCCAGCAGGAGTCCAGTCCCTGTGCTCCTCAGAGTCCCAGCAGGAGTCCAGTCCCTGTGCTCCTCAGAGTCCCAGCAGGAGTCCAGTCCCTGTGCTCCTCAGAGTCCCAGCAGGAGTCCAGTCCCTGTGCTCCTCAGAGTCCCAGCGGGAGTCCAGTCCCTGTGCTCCTCAGAGTCCCAGCAGGAGTCCAGTCCCTGTGCTCCTCAGAGTCCCAGCAGGAGGCCAGTCCCTGTGCTCCTCAGAGTCCCAGCAGGAGTCCAGTCCCTGTGCTCCTCAGAGTCCGGGCTGGTTCATATGGGACTAACATGTCACTAATATATTTTGGTGCGAGGCCATGGAGAGACTTGTAACAAGCAGAGCTGTTTTAAAGTCTATTCTCTGAGCCACAGGAAGCCAGTGCAGAGACCTGAGGACTGGACTAATGTGGTCGTACTTCCTGGTTCTAGTCAGGACTAATGTGGTCGTACTTCCTGGTTCTAGTCAGGACTAATGTGGTCGTACTTCCTGGTTCTAGTCAGGACTAATATGGTCGTACTTCCTGGTTCTAGTCAGGACTAATGTGGTCGTACTTCCTGGTTCTAGTCAGGACTAATGTGGTCGTACTTCCTGGTTCTAGTCAGGACTAATGTGGTCGTACCTCCTGGTTCTAGTCAGGACTAATGTGGTCGTACTTCCTGGTTCTAGTCAGGACTAATGTGGTCGTACTTCCTGGTTCTAGTCAGGACTAATGTGGTCGTACTTCCTGGTTCTAGTCAGGACTAATGTGGTCGTACTTCCTGGTTCTAGTCAGGACTAATGTGGTCGTACTTCCTGGTTCTAGTCAGGACTAATGTGGTCGTACGTCCTGGTTCTAGTCAGGACTAATGTGGTCGTACTTCCTGGTTCTAGTCAGGACTAATGTGGTCGTACTTCCTGGTTCTAGTCAGGACTAATGTGGTCGTACTTCCTGGTTCTAGTCAGGACTAATGTGGTCGTACTTCCTGGTTCTAGTCAGGACTAATGTGGTCGTACTTCCTGGTTCTAGTCAGGACTCGAGCTGCTGCATTTTGGATGTACTGCAGCTGTTTTACAGCCTGTTTGGACAGACCTGTGAGCAGGCCATTGCAGTAGTCTAACCTACTGGAGACAAATGCATGGATAAGAATCTCCAAGTCTGCTTTAGACACTATGTTTTTGATCCTGGAAATGTTTTTTAGATGGTAAAAAGCTGCTGATGTTACTGATTTGATGTGGCTATTAAAATTTAAGTCTGAGTCCAGTATTACCCCTAGATTTCTGACCTTGTTTGAAGGTTTTAGGGAGAGAGACTGTAGGTGACAGATGACGCTCTCTCTTTGTTTCTGGGGACCAAAGACAATCATTTCAGTTTTGTCTGCGTTTAGCTGAAGGAAGTTGTTTTGCATCCACTCACTGATCTGTTGGATACAGTGAAGGAGTGAGTCCACTGGTCCATGTTCTCCTGCAGTCAGTGAGACATAGATCTGAGTGTCGTCTGCATAGTTATGATAGGACACTTTGTTTCTGCGTATTAACTGACCTAACGGCAGCATGTAGAGATTGAACAGAAGAGGTCCCAGGATCGACCCCTGTGGGACTCCACAGGTCAGGGCCATATGATCTGAGACACAGTTTCCAATCTCCACAAAGTACTTCCTGTCTTCAAGGTAAGACCTAAACCAACTTAGGGCGGTGCCAGCGACGCCAACCCAGTCCTCTAGTCTCTGTAAGAGGATCTCATGGTCGACAGTGTCAAAGGCAGCACTCAGATCTAACAAGATTAAGATTGAGACTTTGCCTGCGTCAGTGTTCAGCCGGATATCGTTTGTAACTCAAATTACTTAAAAGATTCTGGGATTCATTATTTGAGTTAAAATGACAGTTTCTGATTTTAAAAAATGGATGTAGAATATTTTCATACATGTTCTTTTCTGTATGGGACTCTGCAGTGGTGCACGTAGTTGTTGCAGAATGGGACTAAACTGCCCCCAGTCCACAGAGGCCCCTCACTGATCCTGCTGCAGGCGGTGGGTCCCCAGGAGGATCGTTCAGCGGGGGCATCAGGCCAAGTGGGGTTAAGTGTTCTTTGAGAAGGTCTTGTAGAAGGTGGAGGAGATCTTGTGGGGGGGATCTAACCCAGAGGCTAATGCTCTACCAACTGAGCCACTGTCGCCCAAATATAAATATTATTAATAATATAAATATCATGAATGTATTAAGAAAAATCAAGTTTAGACTTCTTTCAAGCACAGCAGTACCTCATCTGTTACTGTAGCACATTGAAAGGGTTTATTGTAGAACATGTGCAGACTTACGTCGTACGTCTCGACCAGGAAGGTGGTCTCTGTGGCCAGTCTCTGCTCCTGCTCGATGTTGTAGCCCACATAACACAGCTTCTCCTTCAGCATCCGCACCGTCTCAAAGTCTGCCGTGTGGTTGAAGGCGTAGCCTCGCAGCAGCAGCAGCTGGAGACACCAGAGCAGTTTACAGAAGACACACACACTCGGACACACACACATGTGGAGATGTGTGTAAGACAATACACACACACTCGGACACACACACATGTGGAGATGTGTGTAAGACAATACACACACACTCGGACACACAGCAGCATGTGGAGGAGATGTGTGTAAGACAATACACACACACTCGGACACACAGCAGCATGTGGAGGAGATGTGTGTAAGACAATACACACACACTCGGACACACAGCAGCATGTGGAGGAGATGTGTGTAAGACAATACACACACACTCGGACACACAGCAGCAGGTGGAGATGTGTGTAAGACAATACACACACACTCGGACACACACACATGTGTAGGAGAAGTGTGTAATAAAAAGACTAAACACACACTCGGACACACACACATGTGGAGGAGATGTGTGTAAGACAATACACACACACTCGGACACACACACATGTGGAGATGTGTGTAAGACAATACACACACACTCGGACACACACACATGTGGAGGAGATGTGTGTAAGACAATACACACACACTCGGACACACACACATGTGGAGGAGATGTGTGTAAGACAATACACACACACTCGGACACACAGCAGCATGTGGAGATGTGTGTAAGACAATACACACACACATGTGGAGATGTGTGTAAGACAATACACACACACTCGGACACACACACATGTGTAGGAGAAGTGTGTAATAAAAAGACTAAACACACACTCGGACACACACACATGTGGAGGAGATGTGTGTAAGACAATACACACACACTCGGACACACACACATGTGGAGATGTGTGTAAGACAATACACACACACTCGGACACACACACATGTGGAGGAGATGTGTGTAAGACAATACACACACACTCGGACACACACACATGTGGAGGAGATGTGTGTAAGACAATACACACACACTCGGACACACAGCAGCATGTGGAGATGTGTGTAAGACAATACACACACACATGTGGAGATGTGTGTAAGACAATACACACACACTCGGACACACAGCAGCATGTGGAGGAGAAGTGTGTAATAAAAAGACTAAACACACACATGTGAAGTGTGTAATAAAAAGACTAAACACACACATGTGGAGGAGAAGTGTGTAATAAAAAGACTAAACACACACATGTGTAGGAGAAGTGTGTAATAAAAAGACTAAACACACACATGTGTAGGAGAAGTGTGTAATAAAAAGACTAAACACACACATGTGTAGGAGAAGTGTGTAATAAAAAGACTAAACACACACATGTGAAGTGTGTAATAAAAAGACTCAGTCCAGACACTGCAACTTTACACTTGATTTGAAAGTTTAAAAAAGGTCAAAAGTGTTTTGTTTTTTTACGCACAATGAGAAATATCCTTTATGTTTTATAGTAAGTAAGTAAGTAAGTAAGTAAGTAAGTAAGTAAGTAATCTTTATTTATATACCGCCTTTCACAGACAAGAGTCACAAAGCGGTTTACAATAGTTATTTTTTTGTTTTTTTTTTTTTTTTTTTTGGGCACTTCCTCTCACTCCACACAGAGATGGGAGCGGGGTCGCCGAACAGGAGGCGCATGCCAGAGCTATTGGACATATTTATAGTTTTGCTAATTGGCTCAAAGCTTTTAAAAGTTCTATATTTGTATATATTATTTCTTCTGCTACAGGTTAGATCTTTATAAAAACATTTGCTGAAAATGTGTATGAGGTAATCACTACAATTATTACATAACCACAATAATCACATTTATCAGAAATATCTTAACTATAAACTACTGCATAGTTTTCTTATTGCTGGTTCATACTCACCTCAGTGAGGTTCCGTCCAGGTGTTCATAATAGTAAGTAAGTAAGCTTTATTTATATAGCGCCTTTCAGACCAGAGTCTCAAAGCGGTTTATAATTGTTAATTTTGGGCATTAGTCTCTCACTCCTCACAGAGATGGGAGCGGGGCCAGAACAGGAGGCGCATGCTAGAACTATTGGACATATTTTTAGTGGTAGGGGAAACCGGAGTACCCGGAGGAAACCTACGCAGACACGGGGAGAACATGAATTTAACCGGGTTCTACGAAGAACAAGAGAAATGTATTTTTCTGACATTATTGGAGGTTGCAGTAACAATTTTCGTGTTATGTTTTCAACAGTTGGTAGATTAACGAACCCCCCTGTAAAGTTGCCCCTAGAATTTTCCTCTAAATCTAGGTGTAATGAGTTCGCACAGTTTTTCGATGACAAAGTACAAGGAATCAAAAACACTATCACCTCCACAGCACGTATAACAATGCAACAGCCAGAGAAGCTTTTTGAGCTAACTCACTTTGCACCTGTGGATACTGAAACTGTCAAAAAGATAATCATGAGTCTGAGCTCCTCCACATGTAGCCTGGATATATTGCCCTCTAAATTTCTGAAGTCCGTCCTGAGCAGTTTGTTACCTTCACTGACACAAATAGTAAACATGTCTCTGTCGTCAGGAACATTTCCTATGGCCCTAAAAACAGCAGTCATAAGACCTCTCCTAAAAAAGAGCAGTCTGGATCCTGCGGGACTTCAAAATTATCGCCCCATATCGAATCTGCCATTCATTGGAAAAATTCTTGAAAAAGTGGCCTCCCAACAACTTACTGAATTTTTAACAATGAATAATTCTTTTGATATGTTCCAGTCTGGGTTTAGACCCCACCACAGCACTGAGACCGCTCTAGTGAAGGTAACAAACGACATTCGACTTCACACTGATGCAGGTAAAGTCACAGTTTTGGTCATGTTAGATCTTAGTGCCGCGTTCGACACTGTCGACCATGAGATCCTCATGCAGAGACTGGAGGACTGGGTTGGTGTCACTGGCACAGCCCTAGACTGGTTTAGGTCTTACCTGGAGGATAGGAAGTACTTTGTGGAGATTGGAGACTGCGTCTCAGATGATGTGGCCCTGACCTGTGGAGTACCACAGGGGTCGATCCTGGGACCTCTCCTATTTAATCTCTACATGCTGCCGTTAGGTCAGTTAATACAAAGAAACAAAGTGTCCTACCACAATTACGCTGACGACACTCAGATCTACGTCTCACTGACTGCAGGAGAACATGGACCAGTGGACTCACTCCTTCACTGTATCCAACAGATCAGTGAGTGGATGCAAAACAACTTCCTTCAGCTAAACGCAGACAAAACTGAAATGATTGTCTTTGGTCCCCAGAAACAAAGAGAGGGCGTCATCTGTCAACTTCAGTCTCTCTCCCTAAAACCTTCAAACAAGGTCAGAAATTTGGGGGTAATACTGGACTCAGACCTAAATTTCAATAGCCACATAAAATCAATAACATCAACAGCTTTTTACCATCTGAAGAACATTGCCAAAGTCAGAAATATAGTGTCCAGGGCAGACTTGGAGATTCTTGTCCATGCATTTGTCTCCAGCAGGCTAGACTACTGCAATGGCCTGCTTACAGGTCTGTCCAAACAGACCTGTAAGCAGCTGCAGTACATCCAAAATGCAGCAGCTAGAGTCCTGACAGGAACCAGGAAGTATGACCATATTAGTCCGGTCCTCAGGTCTCTGCACTGGCTTCCTGTGGCTCAAAGAATAGATTTTAAAACAGCTCTGCTTGTGTACAAGTCTCTCCATGGCCTTGCACCAGAATACATTAGTGACATGTTGGTGTCATATGAACCGGCCCGGACTCTGAGGAGCACAGGGACTGGCCTCCTGCTGGGACTCTGAGGAGCACAGGGACTGGCCTCCTGCTGGGACTCTGAGGAGCACAGGGACTGGACTCCTGCTGGGACTCTGAGGAGCACAGGGACTGGACTCCTGCTGGGACTCTGAGGAGCACAGGGACTGGACTCCTGCTGGGACTCTGAGGAGCACAGGGACTGGACTCCTGCTGGGACTCTGAGGAGCACAGGGACTGGACTCCTGCTGGGACTCTGAGGAGCACAGGGACTGGACTCCTGCTGGGACTCTGAGGAGCACAGGGACTGGACTCCTGCTGGGACTCTGAGGAGCACAGGGACTGGACTCCTGCTGGGACTCTGAGGAGCACAGGGACTGGACTCCTGCTGGGACTCTGAGGAGCACAGGGACTGGCCTCCTGCTGGTGCCCAGAGTGAGAACCAAACATGGGGAGGCTGCGTTTCAGATCTATGCAGCTAAGATCTGGAACAATCTCCCTGAAAATGTGAGGGAGGCGTCTACTCTGTCAATGTTCAAATCCAGGTTAAAGACTGTTCTGTTTGCCTGTGCATACAACTGAAGGATTTTATCTCCATTTGTAATGCACTGCTGTCATTTATTTATTTATTTTTTTAAATTTCTTGTGTAATTTTGAAAGTTTTAATGGTTTTATTCTTTTGTGTGATTTTATTGTTTTTATTGTGTTTTAATCTTTTGTGTGATTTTAATGTTTTAATTGTGATTCTGGTGTTTGTTTTATGTGATGATTTGTGATGTGGACTGTGAAGCGCTTTGTGTTGCCCTGTGCATGAAAGGCGCTCTACAAATAAACTTTGATTGATTGATTGAACATGCAAACTCCACTCAGAAAGGCCCTGGTCCGGCCGGGATTCGAACCCAGGACCTTCTTGCTGAGAGGCGAGAGTGCTAACCACTCAGCCACTCTGAGGTTCTGTACGTGTAGCATGTTAGCTAACCTTGATGAGGTTCTGTACGTGTAGCATGTTAGCTAACCTTGATTAGGTTCTGTACGTGTAGCATGTTAGCTAACCTTGATGAGGTACCGTGTGATGTCACGTCCTGCGATGTCGAGGCGGCGAGTGAGATGAGGCAAAGAGAATCCCTCGTAAACTGGACAGATGTGGGTCACTCCGTCCCCAGAGTCCACCACCACACCTGTCAACAGACCTGCAAAGATACCAACCGCTAGCACCATGTGGGCAGACACCATGTGGGCAGACACCATGTGGGCAGAACCCATGTGGGCAGACACCATGTGGGCAGACACCATGTGGGCAGAACCCATGTGGGCAGACACCATGTGGGCAGACACCATGTGGGCAGACACCATGTGGGCAGAACCCATGTGGGCAGACACCATGTGGGCAGAACCCATGTGGGCAGACACCATGTGGGCAGACACCATGTGGGCAGACACCATGTGGGCAGAACCCATGTGGGCAGACACCATGTGGGCAGACACCATGTGGGCAGAACCCATGTGGGCAGAACCCATGTGGGCAGACACCATGTGGGCAGACACCATGTGGGCAGAACCCATGTGGGCAGACACCATGTGGGCAGACACCATGTGGGCAGAACCCATGTGGGCAGAACCCATGTGGGCAGACACCATGTGGGCAGACACCATGTGGGCAAACACCATGTGGGCAGAACTCATGTGGGCAGAACCCATGTGGGCAGACACCATGTGGGCAGACACCATGTGGGCAGAACCCATGTGGGCAGAACCCATGTGGGCAGACACCATGTGGGCAGACACCATGTGGGCAGAACCCATGTGGGCAGACACCATGTGGGCAGACACCATGTGGGCAGACACCATGTGGGCAGAACCCATGTGGGCAGACACCATGTGGGCAGACACCATGTGGGCAGAACCCATGTGGGCAGACACCATGTGGGCAGAACCCATATGGGCAGACACCATGTGGGCAGACACCATGTGGGCAGACACCATGTGGGCAGAACCCATGTGGGCAGACACCATGTGGGCAGACACCATGTGGGCAGAACCCATGTGGGCAGAACCCATGTGGGCAGAACCCATGTGGGCAGACACCATGTGGGCAGACACCATGTGGGCAGAACCCATGTGGGCAGACACCATGTGGGCAGACACCATGTGGGCAGAACCCATGTGGGAAGACACCATGTGGGCAGACACCATGTGGGCAGAACCCATGTGGGCAGACACCATGTGGGCAGACACCATGTGGGCAGAACCCATGTGGGCAGACACCATGTGGGCAGACACCATGTGGGCAGAACCCATGTGGGCAGACACCATGTGGGCAGACACCATGTGGGCAGACACCATGTGGGCAGAACCCATGTGGGCAGACACCATGTGGGCAGACACCATGTGGGCAGAACCCATGTGGGCAGACACCATGTGGGCAGACACCATGTGGGCAGAACCCATGTGGGCAGACACCATGTGGGCAGAACCCATGTGGGCAGACACCATGTGGGCAGACACCATTGTGGGCAGAACCCATGTGGGCAGACACCATGTGGGCAGACACCATGTGGGCAGAACCCATGTGGGCAGACACCATGTGGGCAGACACCATGTAGGCAGAACCCATGTGGGCAGACACCATGTGGGCAGACACCATGTGGGCAGACACCATGTGGGCAGACACCATGTGGGCAGAACCCATGTGGGCAGAACCCATGTGGGCAGACACCATGTGGGCAGACACCATGTGGGCAGACACCATGTGGGCAGAACCCATGTGGGCAGAATCCATGTGGGCAGACACCATGTGGGCAGAACCCATGTGGGCAGACACCATGTGGGCAGACACCATGTGGGCAGACACCATGTGGGCAGACACCATGTGGGCAGACACCATGTGGGCAGAACCCATGTGGGCAGAACCCATGTGGGCAGACACCATGTGGGCAGACACCATGTGGGCAGACACCATGGTTGTTTTACTGGTGGCAGACCTTGTGCGTAGAGGGTGAGCACTGCCTGGATGGCCACATAAATCCCATGGAACTGGTATTTTTCAAACATAATCTCTGTGATCTTCTCTCGGTTCTTGATGGGGTTCATTGGAGGCTCCGTCAGCAGGATCTAAAAGAGAAATGTTATTAAAGCTGGAGCACCTGACTTTCAAAGCACAAACAAATTAAACTATTTGATAAAGTCTAGCTACAAAGTTCCTGGCACTTAAAACAGTTAGGTTCAATCTAAAGTTCTCACATGCATTTATTCTTTCTTTAGATCAGATTTTTCAAACAGAAATGTGAAAGAATTAGGACCACTAATATGACTCATCTCAAAGAGTCAAATAATGACTCTTATTTGTTCATATGACTTAACTTTCACAAAACGCTTTCATTTGGAATGATGAAATTTCCATTTATTTATGATTAACGTCATTTATTATGTGTCGACAAACACGAAGGATTTTCTGGTGTGTATCTTCTTCTCTATGTTCACAGCTTTTCAAAGATACATTCAAACTATTCCAAACAGTTGTTGGGTTCTGGTGGTTCTGGTGGTTCTGGTACCTTGCAGTCTGAGGGGCTGATGTCCAGACGCTCCGGTCCAAAGGTGTGGTCCCACAGGTGCAGCATGTCGTCCCAGCAGCGCACCATCCCGTTCTCCATCGGATACGACACCTCCAGCATCGACCGGCACTCACTCGCCTCGTCTCCAACCATCAAGTCCTGACCAATCAGAGCGCAGCATTAACTACTGACAACCATCAGGTCCTGACCAATCAGAGCGCAGCATTAACTACTGACAACCATCAGGTCCTGACCAATCAGAGCGCAGCATTAACTACTGACAACCATCAGGTCCTGACCAATCAGAGCGCAGCATTAACTACTGACAACCATCAGGTCCTGACCAATCAGAGCGCAGCATTAACTACTGACAACCATCAGGTCCTGACCAATCAGAGCGCAGAATATACTATCATATATCATATGAATATTTAGTGTATGTGATGTGATCTCGGGACAGGTTTACATCAAGCATTTCCAAACTAAAGCCCACGGGCCAATTGTGGACCCAGAAATTAGACATTTAGGTACTTTCACAGTTTCATCCAGCCAACTTCAGCTGCACCTATATATTCATGCTTCAGAACTAAAAAACAGTATTGTTTTTGATTGTGTCAGAAAATTCCACACATCAAAATCATTCCCGTTTCAAGGCCAGAACAGCCCCAGTCAAAACAGTTTTAAGTCTAAAATGTTGGGACACCCCTGGCTTAATTATTACGTATATAAGAATGTATAACATAATGCTTTTTTAGTTAGTGAATGTAATACTTGTCATGATGCTTAAATTCTCATAAACCTGACGTTTATTTAGCAGAAGTAGGAGGTTCCTTTTTGTTTCTAATATCCGTCATCACGCTGGGCAGTATGTGTAATGGAAAGGAATATAGACCATGGTGGTAGTTTGGTGATCAGCAGCAGGGGAGGGATGGGGTGGAAGAGAAACTGTTTTATGATTTGATTCTGCAGTAAATCTACTGTGTTATAGATGTTGTACTACAGTATTGTGGACCTTTTAACCTACATTATAAACAACAAGAGCTGAAGGATTGAGGATCATATTTAACTTGTGTATCTTACCTTGATTTCATAGTTTCCCACTTTGACACTTGATCGAATGATGGGTCGGCCGATCATAGCAGGAAAGATGTGATCGGGGAAGTTGGAGCCAGCGAAGCCGCACTTAACGAACTGAGAAAGGGACAGGGATAGTTTTAATTCACTTGGAACATTTTCATAACTATCAGAAAGAAATGATATGAAAAAAATAAAATGATATGGATAAATAACAAATGTGACTCAAAAGACGAGCAACACCAGTGCTCCCCGGGTGACTTCAGTTTTTTTAGGCCTAAATGAACTGAAGAAGATGACATGTCTGGGATCGCGTCTTTCATTCCGACAGAAGACATGTTTTATTGTCGATGGTAGAGACAGCACGAACAACAGATACAACAGAATGCAAGTGTATTATACAGAGCGTTGGCATGGAGACCTCCAATCAGCAGCTGCCACAGTGCCATGTAGCTTGGCCTTCAGATAGACACAACAAGGGAAAAGTACTGGCTTCTGCACATTGATAGAATGATGAGTTTAACTTTAACAAAAGTTGCTTAAAAGTGTTATGAAATCTCACAGAACCGTACTCTGCACAATGTTTCCTTCTCTCTGCCTTTCATGTTTCTTTGTCACTATCCATCCATCCATCCATCCATTTTCTGCCCTTTAATCCATTTCTGGGTCAGGGGGGTGGCAGTCAGAGATGCCACCCAAGTCTCATAGCACCAGCCCCTCACTGACCCTCTGCAGGTGGTGAGTCCACAGGAGGCTGCTCTCTGAGTGTGAGCATAGCCTTGATCTTTCAGTGGGGGCTTTGGGCAAAGTGGGGCTAAGTGTCTTGCCCAAGGACACAACGACAGCAGTCATCAGTGGGAGTCTTCTTTGTCACTACGTTATTAAAAATGCTTTCTTCACATGTACTTAAACAACCCTATTCAAAAACGTGTGTCTTAACTGTGGTAGAATAGTCAGCTTCAAAGCACTTACAGGAATGCACAATAAACCAAAATACACAATCAAACATTTTGCATCCCTGACAATAAAATCTTTGCATTGGGGAATCCTGATGATCCTGATTTCAGCCACTGAGTTGGTTAAAATCAAATGTCTTTTCCTACATCTAAGCACTGTTTCAACATGTCCAGGTGAACACACATTCCTTATCCTCAGGGCAGCACAGAACCAGGAAGGACCGAGAGGAGTCAAATACATTAGATCAGTATGTGGCCCTCTGTTCTAATAATATATAGTATAATTATACATACTGCAAACCATAATAGAGAAGTGTTTGTGCAAGTTTCACTTGAGCAGTGTCTTCCTGTTTTCTAACCAATGTGAGCGCAGTTCAAAGCACCACATCCATTTATGGCTGTGAGAGCAGAAAACATGCACTTGACAAGTCCAGACACATGAGACTGTAGGCAGTATGCACCAACTACACCCAACAGGCGCACCAACTACACCCAACAGGCGCACCAACTACACCCAACAGGCGCACCAACTACACCCAACAGGCGCACCAACTACACCCAACAGGCGCACCAACTACACCCAACAGGCACACCAACTACACCCAACAGGCGCACCAACTACACCCAACAGGCGCACCAACTACACCCAACAGGCGCACCAACTACACCCAACAGGCGCACCAACTACACCCAACACTTTCTATGTTCCATTGGAATCACCGACTCACTATAAAGACTGCACATCCTGACAAAAGCAATGTGTCAACAAATAGAACAGCTTTTTTTATATTACTTAAAAACAGGAAATGATTGACTGTTACTCACCCCAGTCCCATTGTCACAGACCACCACCTTCCTGCCCTGACTGTCCATGGGGTAAATGTGTCTCAGGACACTGCAGGTAACAGAGAATAAACTATTATCCTCCAGACAAGAGCTGGGGGTAGATTTACACTAGTGACAGATATGCAGAAGTCTGGCTGCAGCTTCTTGTTTGAATGGGGGTGGGGCTAAGGTTTAGTGCACGCCTTTTCTGAGTCAGAACAGGTCACACACGCACATGCACACGCTCACACACACACACGCACGCACGCATACGCACACGCATGCACACACACGCACGCACGCATACGCACACGCACGCACGCACGCATTCACGCACGCACGCACACACACACACACACACACATTTATAGAATAAACAGATGTATTCTGATTCTCTTGATATATTTGTGTTAGATTTAACACATTGTCTATAATAGAAACAGTAAATTCGACAAAGGTATTTTGGTTTTGTCTTTTTGTCCCTTGGGAGGACCCATAATCCCGGATTGTTAGCTACATTACTAAATTATATCTTTTTTAGCCTAGAGTTGTTTGAAGCTTGGACTTGCATTAAAAACTCGGTAATTATGTGCTGTACGAAGTAAGAAGTGATTATCTGAATGCTAACATTAGCATTAGCATTGGGGTTGGTAGCATTAGCGTTAGCTAGCTCACTTATTAGCATAGAAGCTTCACCGTTAGGCTAACATTTTATCCAGCGCTAATAATCTAAAACTATCGTAACTGTTTTTAAGTGTTTCTTTATATTTAATTGGTCTTAAAGTTAAGATAAGCAAACGTTCTTTGATGATCCAAGGATAACCTTAACCTTCATAACTAGTTTAACTAGTTAGTTTAACTAGTTTAGTAGCTAGCGTTAGCCTCAGATAGCTTTGACACATAAATAAAAAATAAAAAAAATTGATCCATGCTTATACAAAAGTGACAAATGTTTGCATAAAAATAGTTTTATTTATTTACACATAACATGTACAAAATTGGAATATGGAGTCACAGTGTCAGGTCAGACCAATCCAGTCTATGTCAGACCAATCCAGTCTATGTCAGACCAATCCAGTCTAGGGTCAGACCAATCCAGTCTATGTCAGACCAATCCAGTCTATGTCAGACCAATCCAGTCTATGTCAGACCAATCCAGTCTATGTCAGACCAATCCAGTCTATGTCAGACCAATCCAGTCTATGTCAGACCAATCCAGTCTATGTCAGACCAATGCAGTCTAGGGTCAGACCAATCCAGTCTATGTCAGACCAATCCAGTCTATGTCAGACCAATCCAGTCTATGTCAGACCAATCCAGTCTATGTCAGACCAATGCAGTCTAGGGTCAGACCAATGCAGTCTATGTCAGACCAATGCAGTCTAGGGTCAGACCAATGCAGTCTATGTCAGACCAATGCAGTCTAGGGTCAGACCAATGCAGACTAGGGTCAGACCGTAGACTAGGGTCAGACTGATCTCATATGTAAGAGGCACCTTGAGTTAAGACCATTATCTCTTCACGTCTGTTTCAGCTTCAGCCGAGCCCAGGACCGTCTCTAAACAGCAGGTAACACAATCTCACATAAGATTCTGAGCAGCATAATGCAACTTATATTTAGCATATATCAACGACCCTCAGGCTCGTCCCGCAGTTCGTTGTAAGGCAATTTCCATGAATTGAGTTCAGTTATGATATTTCAGCTTTTAGTGTAGTTTCAAATGAAAAATAATAACAATAAAAACACATCCAGAGGCGTTCACAAACATTGTCTCATGATACTTGCTGTTTTGTTGTAGTGACTTATCCCTGTTTTAGAGGATACAAAAGTGTTGTATGTGACAATACTCCTTCATTTTGTTTTTACAGTCAAGGTGATGTGTCATCGCGCATTTAAGTGCATTTTACATTTTTATATAATTTCCAGTTCTGTTCCACCCACATAGACGCCAGTGTCCTCAGGCAGCTCTCTTTGGGGAGTTTCTTTATGTAAACAGTCTTTTGCTGAGCCGTAGTTTCATGACTCAAACTCGCTGTCACTGCTGACAGAGATCTCCGGAGTGGAGGCCCCGGTGCCTCTGTGGTCGGCCCCTGTGCTGGAGTCGCTGTTCTCGGGACTACCCAGACGATGGCGCTCTTGTACTGAGTTTTCAGGGGAACTCTCTGATGGGAGCAGCGAGTCCTGCTGTAGTCTGCGCACACCAGAAAGGAATCACTCATCCAGGTAATTAAACAACGTTACACTTTTACTGTAGATCATAGTCATGTACATGTCACACCCACCACACACCCACTTGTCTATCTTTGTAAGCAGTTTTACTTCTATAGATCAGGTGTCTCCAACCTTTTTCACCCAGAGAGCTACTTTTGTGGGATGATAAAGGCAGAGAGCTACTCCTTTCCGGCGGCACTGGGATATATTGTCCTGAACAAGCCTAATATTGGGACAGTCATTATTTATCATCACATAATTCTTTCTAGAGCACAAAGTAAGTTCATTTACAATAATGAATAATAATAATGAACAATACAATCTGAAATATTAAGTGTACAGTATTATTTGATGTGTTAATTTCTAAATCCTTTGGCGAGCTACCTGGACGGGGGTCACGAGCTACAGGTTGGAGACCCCTGCTATAGGCATTTATGTCTGTGTCTCTAACAACTGATGACTTTTGATCGTCAAAATCATAGACTGTAAATATTAAAATCAAAACCATATAATTTGCCAAAAGAGCACAATCACCCCCTCAATCCTTTCTGTACAGAAACCTAGATTCCCACAAACATTTACCTAATTTATTATTCCTCTTTTTCTTTTGTTTATTTCTGTTTTTTGATTTTCAAAGTGGTCTATCTCTGATGAAGTTTGAGGGTTTCACGTTGTGACTGTTTTATCTATAAATGTTCTAAAAGCAACTCGCCCAAAGCGTTAGAATGATCAGTTATCACGGTGTTACGGAAAGATTATTCCTATCAAATTATGTTTTTTTTCTTGTTTTCAATCCCTGCTAGTCACAGGTTATTGGAACTATTGCTGATAATTATGCTATATTTAGTGTTATTTCCCTTTGTCCCTTTATCAAATATATGAAAGATGAGGAAATGTGACAAACCTGTTTTTAGCGGAGGCAGCGCGGTCTCTTTGGCGTCTGTTTTTGAACCAGTTCCCGACTTGTGTTGGCGTGAGTCCTGTGGCTTGGGCCAGATGTCGTTTCCTGGACGGGTTTGGGTAAGGGTCCTGGAGGTACCACTCTCTCAGCAAACTGCGTGTTCGCTCCTGCATAATCAACGTAACTTTTTAAACACATACTTAACTTTTGAAATGCTATGTTTATGTGTATGATCTTCTTATGCCATGATTTAATTCAATTATACCATTGTGTGTATAATCATATAAGCCTGGAGGTGAACAAGCGATCCAATGAACGCTAAGCCAGTTCTTATGTCTATTAAAAGGATCATCTTAAGTGGATTAATATGGTGCTGAAAATTGTCTTCTGTTCAGCAGTACCTATATATGGCCACCAGAGGGCATTTCCACATACCAGTAAAACCCAAACCGAAAGTTGTGCGTCTTTCACCTGTTTTCATGACGTGAAAAATAATTTTGCATTTAAGATATTGAAAGGGGTTTCCTGCGTGAGATGTCTTATTGATACATGGGTTACTGGAATAATAAGTATGATCTTTACTGTATATAGAGTTTACAATTTGGTGTGTTTTATATTTTTATATGTTGCATGAAATAGAGATAGTTATGCCTTAACCCTTTTAGTAATGCGGAATGTGAAATGTATTCTTATTTTCATGTAATAATTTGGAAATCATGAAAAAGAATTATTAACACGTAAAAAGTAAAAGTTTAACTAATCAGTTGTAGGCCAGTTTGAAAGGCGTGATCGGTTAGTACTGTCAGAATTAAAGCTATAATCGTTAAAAGTTATAAAGGTAATAGACCTGAGTTGTGTCTGGAATGGACCTACCTTGAAACAGTGCGTCTTCTGCTCCCCGTCCCAGATGGTCCTGGGCAGGGGGAACTTCTTGCGAATGCGGTACTTCTCCACGGGTCCCAGGGGCCTCCCTCGCAGCCTCTCCGCCTCCCGGTAGTGCGCGTCCAGCCACATGTCCTGCAGTTTGGCGTGAGACTCGCGCGTAAAGCGGTGGCTCTGGAGGATCTGGTAAAGCGCCTCGAAGTTCCCCCCGTGAAAGGCCACCAGAGCTCGGGCTCTCATCACGGACTCATGACGGTTCAGTGCCTCCCCTGCAGACCCAGGCACGGCGGCCGGCAGGGACCAGAGGAACCGGCCCAAGCGCTCGATGTCCCCGGTCTCCTCCAGGTTCTCACACACGCGAGCGACTTGGTCCGAAGTGAACATTGGAAGTGGAAACATCTTTGCGCGTCGCTTTCAGTTCTTAAAAGTGATGAATGTGTCTAAAGCTGCGTGTCCGTGCGCGTCCTGACCATGGCTGCCTTATGTGCCTAATGAAGAAGTGTGTGACCCAGCTTTGAGAGGAGCATGGACTAAAGAAGAAGGACTAGAAGTCATCTCGTATTTATAGCTTGATACAATTAGCATCTCTGTAGTTGTTTTGAGAAGGATTATACATCCGACCATTAGCTTCTTAGCGGGGGGCAGTGTGTACAGAGGTGACGGCTGATCAGCTTGTTTGGCTTAGCCCGAGGAAACATTGACTGCCAGAGTGACTGCAGTGAGCAAACACGCATAGATAGCTTATTAAATAGGTCGGATCTGGAGACATGCCTGCAGGGGGATGCTGATGAGGAGGAGAAGTGGGGTAATAGGCTACATCATGAGGCAATTAGAGGATGAATTAAGAGGATGAATATGGTCCCATACACAGATACACATGCCCTATAGCTTGTCTAAAGCAAGGCTATCTCAACAATGTATTATTAGTATTATTATATTATTATTATTATAACACAGTTTGTCCCAACAGAGAGAACCGCACAAATTACACCACAATATGCTGTCTTCATCTGATTAGAAACCATTATAACTTTGACATGCATATAGAGGTGAGTGGTTGTGTGCGGCTGGTTCATTAAAAGTTCATCTGAAGTCATTGCAGAAGCCAAAAGCACATGTGAATACAAGTATAATTGTTTGAGAGCTGGAACTTGGACTTGTTAGGTGAGTAAGTAACCTTTATTTATAGAGCAATATTGACTCATAAGTTAAAAGGAGACATTTAAAACAAAAAAACTAAATTCATTACATTCCAGTGCCAATAGAGATCATAGAAAAAGCAATAAACAAATGAGCATTGAATGATATTGATTCTGATGTTCTAAGATCCAGAGGGAGTGGATGCCATAGATTTGGTGCATGAGCTTGGTCACCCTGTGTTTTGTATTTAGTCCAGTTAGCAGGTTCTGACTGGCAGACCTGAGACGGTACAGCAGGTCCGACAGGAGCCCAGAGCCTGGTCTGGAGCGGTCTGCTGGACACTTCAGGACCGGTTTCATAATCTATCAACAGGAAACTATTGTGGACATTTAGGCTACATTTAACACAGACAAATTACTACAAGCAGAAAGAAGAAAAATATTTAAGCTTTAGGAATTAGTTGTGATTAACTAATTGTTATCAGGTTTATACCATCCGATTTGATTTGTTGATCATTTATGATTATATTTTTATATATTGTACCGATATTAAGATTAAGAAATCCTTTATTTGTCCCACAGTCTGGGACACAATGTTTTTTTAAATATAGGTAAATGTGCACATTCTTTAATATATTGGCAATATTAATATTAATGTGTACATGAATAAATAAACACACACAGAAGAATAGTTATTTAAAACGTCTATAGAAATAGCAGCAGTGTAACCTTTTGCCATGCACTGAGTTCCTCACTGATGTGCGGTGGAGCGACTCCAGAGTGGAGCATTAAGCATTACTTCTATCCCTGTGATCTGAGCAGCTCATTAATCAGACTTAGGATAATTTTCTCATTATAAATCAGGTTAAGGGTCCTGTCAGCGTCTGTCAACACGAATACAAACATGTTAGGCTGAACGCAGGCCGTGTAGCAGTGCGCGGTGTCACTTATTGTCCTGACCCGCTCAATCAAACCCTGACTAGTTTAGAAGATAATCTGTGTAATTATATTGATTTAACCTTAAACAATGGCCGCCGCAGCAGGCGCACGGATCTACATAAAGGTTGCCGTCAGGTGAAGGATGATCTGGTTCACAACGTGGTGAGGGGCTTTAAGGAGGGTCTGCAAATCTGATCTTCAGACAGTTCAGATGGAAACATCTCTATGATAGATAGATACTCGGAGAAATGCAGGTGTCCAGTAGCAGCAAAAATAAAAAATAACATTTATCATTCTAAAAAGATAACAATAGTAATAATCAGAAACAGCCCTTCAGGTCACAGCAGCAGAGGTGGAGTAGCCTCTGGGTGGAGTAGCCTCTGGGTGGAGCAGGACGGGTCACAGCAGCAGAGGTGGAGTAGCCTCTGGGTGGAGCAGGACGGGTCACAGCAGCAGAGGTGGAGTAGCCTCTGGGTGGAGCAGGACGGGTCACAGCAGCAGAGGTGGAGTAGCCTCTGGGTGGAGCAGGACGGGTCACAGCAGCAGAGGTGGAGTAGCCTCTGGGTGGAGCAGGACGGGTCACAGCAGCAGAGGTGGAGTAGCCTCTGGGTGGAGCAGGACGGGTCACAGCAGCAGCAAAAGGTGGAGTCGCCTCTGGGTGGAGCAGGACGGGTCACAGCAGCAGAGGTGGAGTAGCCTCTGGGTGGAGCAGGACAGGTCACAGCAGCAGAGGTGGAGTAGCCTCTGGGTGGAGCAGGACAGGTCACAGCAGCAGAGGTGGAGTAGCCTCTGGGTGGAGCAGGACAGGTCACAGCAGCAGAGGTGGAGTAGCCTCTGGGTGGAGCAGGACAGGTCACAGCAGCAGAGGTGGAGTAGCCTCTGGGTGGAGCAGGACACGCCACAGCAGCAGAGGTGGAGTAGCCTCTGGGTGGAGCAGGACGGGTCAAAAGGTGGAGTAGCTTCTGGGTGGAGCAGGACAGGTCAAAAGGTGGAGTAGCTTCTGGGTGGAGCAGGACAGGTCAAAAGGTGGAGTAGCCGCTTGGTTCGGACTATTTTCTCTGCTCTGGTCCAAAGTAAAATGCTAAATGCTTGATACATTTTTGTGTTTTGAATGAATTGTATTAAACTAATAAGACAAGTTCCCTGGACTGCCACCTTAACGTGGTGGGGGAGTTTGAGCACTCGGATGATCCTGGGAGCTATGCTGTCTGGGGCTTCATGCCCCTGGTAGGGCCTCCCATGGCAGACAGGTCTCGGGTGACGAGTCAGACAAAGAGCAGTCCAGAAGACACCATGGACAGCACTCAAAAGAAATCAGTGACGTCGCCCGGCATGGCGCAGCCGGGGCCCCACCCTGGAGCCAGGCCTGGGGTCGGGGCTCGTAGGCGAGCGCCTGGTGGCCGGGCCTTAGCCCACGGGGCCCGGCCGGGCTCAGCCCGAATGGACGACGTGGGCAGTCCCTCCTGTGGGCCCACCACCCGCAGAGGGGTCCGTGGTGGCGAAACGGTGCAGAGAGGACTGGGCAGCAGTCGAAGGCGGAGACCTCGACGACCCAGTCCGCACACACAACAGCTGGCTCTTGGGACGTGGAACGTCACCTCACTGGGGGGGAAGGAGCCCGAGCTCGTGGGGAGGTTGAGCGATACCGACTAGAGATAGTCGGCCTCACCTCCACACACAGCTTGGGCTCTGGAACCCAACTCCTTGAGAGGGGTTGGACGCTCCATTTTTCTGGTGTTTCCCGCGGGGAGAGGCGGCGAGCTGGGGTGGCCATTCTCATTGCCCCCCATCTCAGCCGCCACGTGTTGGAGTTCTCCCCGGTGAATGAGAGGGTCGCGTCCCTCCGCCTCCGGGTGGGGGATAAGTCTCTCACTGTTGTGACGGCCTACGGGCCTAACGGTAGTGCAGAGTACCCGGCCTTCTTGGAGTCCTTGGGAGGGGTACTGGACGGTGCACCGCCCGGGGACTCCGTTATTCTCCTGGGGGACTTCAACGCCCATGTGGGAAACGCCAGTGACACTTGGAGAGGGGTGATCGGGAAGAACGGCCCTGATCTGAACCCGAGCGGTGTTCAGTTGTTAGACTTCTGTGCTAGTCACAGTTTGTCCATCACGAACACCATGTTCGAGCACAAGGGTGTCCACCAGTGCACGTGGCACCAGGACACCCTAGGCCGGAGGTCGATGATCGACTTTGTTGTCGTATCATCTGACCTTCGACCGCGTGTCTCGGACACTCGGGTAAAGAGAGGGGCGGAGCTGTCAACCGATCATCACCGGGTCGTGAGTTGGATCCGCTGGCAGGGGAAGAAGCCGGTCAGACCTGGCAGACCCAAGCGTATAGTGAGGGTCTGCTGGGAACGTCTCGCTGAGCCCCCTGTCAGACGGACTTTCAACTCACACCTCCGGGAGAGTTTCTCCCAGGTCCCGGTGGAGGAGGGGGACATGGAGTCCGAGTGGACCATGTTCTCTGCCTCAATCGCCGATGCGGCGGCTCATAGCTGTGGTCGCAAGGTCTCTGGTGCTGGTCCCGGCGGCAACCCCCGAACCCGGTGGTGGACACCGGCAGTAAGGGATGCTGTCAGGCTGAAGAAGGAGTCCTATCGAGCCATGATGATTCGGGGGACTCCTGAGGCAGCTGTCCAGTACCGGCAGGCCAAGCGTGCCGCGGCCCGGGCTGTTGCAGAGGCAAAAACCCGGGACTGGGAGGAGTTCGGAGAGTCCATGGAGCATGACTATCGGTCGGCCTCAAAGAAATTCTGGCAAACCGTCCGGCGCCTCAGGAGGGGGAAGCAGTTCTTTGCCAACACCATGTACGGTGCGGGTGGAGAGCTGCTGACCTCGACTGGGGATATTGTCGGGCGGTGGAAGGAATACTTTGAGGTTCTCCTCAATCCCCCCGTCACGTCCTCTGTTTCAGAGGCAGAGGCTGAGGATGTTGGGGCGGATACATCCATCTCCCTGGCTGAGGTCACCAAGGTGGTTGGTAGCCTCCATGGTGGCAAGGCTCCGGGTGTGGATGAGATCCGCCCTGATTATCTAAAGTCTCTGGATGTTGTAGGACTGTCTTGGCTGACACGTCTCTGCAACATCGCGTGGCGATCGGGGGCGGTGCCAATGGAGTGGCAGACCGGGGTGGTGGTCCCTCTCTACAAGAAGGGGGACCGGAGGGTGTGTTCCAATTATCGTGGGATCACACTCCTCAGCCTCCCCGGTAAGGTCTACTCCAAGGTACTGGAGAGGAGGCTACGGCCGATGGTCGAATCTCGGATCCAGGAGGAGCAGTGTGGTTTTCGTCCCGGTCGCG